TGCCCGGGATGGAATTTCAATCAATGTGCTCTGCATGCGTGGGTTCGAATCCCATCCTCGTCGTGTAAAGTTCTTAATCTGTTGTAGTTACTAGATATTGTAATATATTCAAATTAACTGAAAGTGTAAAACGACTGGATTGGAAGCTAAAAATATTGTTTCTGAAAATGACTGAACACGTTTATTACTTCGTGATAATTATTCTGTGTCAATATTCTAGGAATCATCCATCTTGGTAACGACCACCAAACGCAACAGATATAAACGTTTGAGCTGGTAGCAATTGGCAATAAAGCTTAAGCGCATGGCCCTTTCAGTGAGAAGTTGCTTAGGTTAGATGGGCTTAAATATCATTTCATTGCTTGTTATATTTTTTATATATTATATTCAGTTATTTGATATAAGAGTTTAAATTGGTAGCTTTTAGAAAAATTGCAAGGGTCAGCAGTAGACGAGGTTATTATTGTGCTTTACATGATACGTACGCACCATCACGCACACACCATGGTCGGCCTGATGATGATATGATGATGATAAGAAGATAAATATTGATAATCAATAAAAAAATTCAGCTATACCGATCTCTACAATTATATTTACAAATTCCGTATTCACACAACGATTTTGTGTACTCACACACATTTTCAATCTTTAAACCTCAATCTATTGAAAACTAAACCTTTATGCATGTGATTGTAAAATGCATAAAAATGAAAACAGAAATCGAAACCTTTGCTTGATTTGTGGAATACCACAGGGTGTCAAGACAATTAAAACCACAACAAAGTGTTTATTCGAGTGTGTGTACTTACTGAATAAATATGACTTTCATAACAAAGGTGTGATCTGAAAAGGTCCATGATCTGAAAGATTGGAACGTTTAATATGCCATTCCGCCGCTCCCTTTAACTATAGTTATTATATACTCATGTCGAGTCAAGCAGTCATCAGACGAAGCGTAAAGTTTTATCCTAACCTCAGAAAAGTCAAGGGCACCCAAACAGTAGGCTATATGGTATACAATATCCATATTACATGTTTCATTAAACTCTTCTTTTCAGTGACAATAATTAATGTTGAAGTCAACTCATGACAATGTATAAACAATGGACTTATTTGACTGGTTCATTTCGTTGAGTACGAATTTTCGTTGAGTATTATGTTTTCATTCGACTGGTCCGTAAAACATTCAGTTGTACCGATCTCTACAATTATATTTACAAATTCCGTATTCACACAACGATTTTGTGTACTCACACACATTTTCAATCTTTAAACCTCAATCTATAGAAAACTAAACCTTTATGCATGTGACAGAAAAAAAAAAAATAAAACGAGATATTAAAATACACAGTTTATATATAATGTCTTAGATTTTCGAATTAGGCTTATATGTATTGTTTCTGTGTGTACATTTCCTTAAAATATGAATCTTGCGAATATCATTATTTCGAAGAATCAACAATATGTCATTGAAATTGATTTTTTTTTCTAAAATAAGTCATCACAAAATGATTTGAATATAATAATATGACCATCGTCACCATCATTGCTATTCGTATAGTGATTACGATATTTGATATCAATTACCACTAAGTGTGGGTGACACTATTTCTATATCATACAAAAGAGATCATTCAGACCAAACAAATAGCCTGCTGTAGGCCTATTCAATGCAAGTGTACACTTTACGGTTGTTTGGTTTGGTTTTGTTAGTATGATGAGTAATAAAGACTCTACACAGCTTGCAGACTATTGGCAAATAATGTAAGCCGAAAAAAATATTAAACAAAAATCAACAATGCTTCTACACACTGTTATTACGAACTGACATACTGTATCATGAATTATTAATGACTAGTTTAAGAAGTAAAATCTTTTTTTTTATTTTTCAATTCCCCTTTAATACTATATATATTATAATCTATCCGTAAAGACTATACTGAATATAACTAATGTAGTAAGGCCAAGCTCAATTTCCTCGAGGTTACAATACGATACTTTTTATTCGACCGGAGATGGTTTGAAATGAGTATTTTTCTGGCTCATACCATGGAGGAAGGAAATTTCCTTCCTCCATGCTCATACTGACTTAATTCAGTACGCTTCAGTTTATACTTTAGCTTGGTTCTTACGTATAATCGGGGTATAAACATACGTAACCGCGGCGACTTGTTATTCCACAAAATATTTAAAATGATTTGGTTCAGCTGGGCTGCGTTGTGTCACTGTGAATTTGGCGTGGTGCGCGTTGTGATGCGTTTACGTAACGTCACTAACTTACGTGACTTCTATTCACAATCCACCATATAGACAGACCTGTATGCAGATAGACCTAGTAATTGGTGTTTACTTGCTTTGATTTAATGTTGTACATATATATAAATTCAATTTTTTCTGTTTTGCATATCTAAATAATATATCAAAAAATAACCGAAGCCAAGTGATAGTAGTAAACCCAGGGGCGTAGGGCTGTCTCTTATACAGGGGCGTAGGGTGGTTCCCATCTTGGGGGGGGGGGGAGTGGGGGAGAAAGTTGTAAGTGCGGGATCAGTGGCGTAACGAAGAGGCTGAAGTTCCCGAGCGTTTTGTGATGCATTATAATGTATTTTTTTGGGGCACAATTGAGTTCTTAATTAATAATAAGCGTAATATAGGCCTATTGTAATTAAGATAATACTTTGTTCGTCTGTCTTATTTTCTTATACACATTGTTTCATATTCATATTATATAACAAATTATTAAATAAAGTTTAAAACGCTCCATGAAAAGAAGAACAAAAAATGTTTTGCTCTTTTCTAATTATTATTACTGTTGCATGTGCTACACAGAATTATGAAAGTAATTAAAAAATAATAACGTCGGCGTCATTTGATGTATTTTTAAAATTATGACAATTTTAAAACCCATTAATCAAAATTAGGCTATTGCTTCGACTATACATTTTCCATGTTCTGTACGGAAAAATGCTGTTTAAGGATTTTTTTTTTCTTTCGTTTTCCAGGACTGTGTTTGAGGCAAACGTTAAGGAAAATTGATAATTCAAACGATCTACAACTTTTTGTTTTCATATTTTTTTTTATATATTGAAAAATCTATAGCTCGTTAACAGCTTTTTATTTCATTAACCAAGTTTTTCGTCAAAGTTTAAGAAGAACATTAGGACGTCTGTATTTCCATTAGCAATCATGTATCTTTATCTTGATTTTCTCTCTTTTATTACATGTTTTAAAGCTATATCCTATTTAATAGGCCTATTCATTTTCCGAAATAATTAAATGAACGTAAACATTTACAGTAGGTTTTTGGTGATTAGTGTAGGGGCATTCCACTTTTATTTCGTATGATCATTCATTCTATAAATCAAATATGAACATATCAATTAAATGCAGTACGATATTGCAACTTGCAATATTTATTTACCGTAATAATTTCAATTTCAAGCGTTGCTTTTCATTGTTATTGTATTTTAAAAGCCTATTCAATTAGAATGTCGATATAACGAATCTCAATCGATGTTATGCGGTCTCATGCACTTTTATGTTTTTATGTTTTAAGTTTTATATAGTTCACCCAATAGTGCGAATCATGATTTTTTTTTCTCCTAGTCATATGCATGCGCAGTAAAGAACTTTGTAGTTATTTGGCTGCCCATGCGAGTAATGAAAACAAAAATCGCATTTTGGGCGAATTCGCCTAGAGGAAAGAAACAACGGCCGTACGGTTACGAGGGCACATTAGTGCGGGTACGACGTAAGCAATAGAAAGGAAAGAATATGAAAACATATGAAACATATGAAAGGTAAAAGCATCAAAAGACTGGTTGAGTTTAATCAAAGTATATAAAATTATATATATATAATATATATATATATTTCTCTACTGTTCCGTTTAAACTTTATATTATCATTATTTGCATTTATGTGGCTGCTCGTTGTTTTTATGGGTTTATCCCATTTGCCTTTAAATTTATATATATATATATATATATATATATATATATATTCTCAATATATTCTTCAGAGATACATTACAAGGCACTTGCAAGGTACAATGTCCCACTAAATACAGCAACAAGAAACGTGACGTTGTCATGAATAAGTATGCAGTATGAGAAAAAATATGAATGTTAATCTTGCTAATGTATGGAACAATATTGAGACTATTAATTTCCCTTTACACAAAACCAAAATTTCTTACTTTATGAACGTAAAATGTTTATGTAAAAAGAAATTCAAATCAAATACCAAATGAAGACCGAAAAGTCGATCAATCAATATTTAAACTCAATAGCATTTATAATAAAATTAATTAATATAATATTTTTGTGCTTTTATCAAACAACTGTCTTTGAGAGCTGTCACAGTGACCATTCCCATGCCATTTTCAATTTTAATATAACATAATATATATTATATATTTGGTTGGTTTTATTACAATTTTGTAAAGAGGCATATGCCATCTCCTTACGAATAAATATTTACAAAATACGTTAATCGGTTGAGATTTATATATGAAGATGAACTAATATAGTTGGAAATACTGAATCAAATCACATTTTTCGGAATTTGTTTCATACTATCTTATGTCAAACTTATCGGTCAATATTGGTTTGCCAACATTTCTTATAATTTTCTCTCGAAAATGTGTTGCCCGGGTCACTAATACTGACCAAACTATAGGTCTACTTAGGGTTCGTTCAACATTATCAACATTTTTACAAGTGTACAAGCAGTACACTGGGGCGGGGGGAGGGGGTGGAGGGGTTGACAAATTTGTACACTTATATATGCATGAAAATGTTGATTGAAAATTGCATTTATGTATTAATTAATGGATTTTTATGACCAATTATATAATGGAACCAGATGTAATAGACATTTTAAAGCAAAAAGTACAGTACTGGGGGTAGCGAGAAAGAGTAGTGTTTTTACCCTTGTGAAATTGTTGATAATTGTGAACGACCCCTTAGGCTCTGGCAAGGAACAAGAACACCTACCTCACTAACTTCCTGACGCAATGTAGCTCCAAACACACAAACGAAAAACGCACAAATCAGTGCTATTGGTAACCCTCCAATCCCCATTTTGGTTATATTTTATGAGGTTCACCTGCCCGAACAGTACTCACAACAGGACAGTAGTTCAGTTAACGTTCTCTGTAGTTTGTCGTTTGGCTGTCAAACTTGTAATTAAACTTAACAATTTAAGTTTATACTTAGCAATGAGTCTTCGCCCTGATTCTTGTCTACACCGAAGGTCAAATGCCTTTTCGCTAGAGAAGAATACACAGTGTGTGGGTTTACACTTCTCATAATGGTCTTTGTCATGTTAATCTTTATTTTAATTCACCTCCATTTCCGTCAGCTCTGTGGGGTTCCTTATGTCAATTTTGTGTACTATAGAAGAAAGAATTTGAGTTTATAAAATGGATAATATTATTACCTAGTGTGTTTATATTAATACAGATATTAAGAAGGCTTTTAGTCTGGAAACTGTAACATTCGCAAAGTAATATAAATTTAAAAAAAAAAAAAAAGTAATATAAATTAAAAAAAAAACAAAAAAAAAACAAAAACAAAAAAAAACAAAAAAAAACGAACAAACAAAAGACAAAAGAAAAAAAAAAACACATTCACAGAAAACAAAAATCCTCCAATTTTAGGGTCTAGAAACAACATTTAAATTTCTCGAATCTCTAAATGCAAAAGAGTAAAAGAGTGCCAAAAGTGACCACTTCTGACAGAGTGAGATTTCACTCTATTCAGTGTGAATTTTACAATTTATTTCACAAATCACAAACTATAAACATAGCAGCTAGGAGCTATCGAAATATCCATTTGATTTTGTTATAGTTGAATAAATTTGTGTTCCACAAGTCAACTTTCAAAGATTATACACCATTTTTTTTTAATTGTTTTTACATTTTATTTCACTTCGAGCATACATGCAAACCCACTCGGGTTCCAGTTACGCGCGACTAGTTGACTTGTGGCCGAGTTGATTTGTGGCCGAGTTGACTTGTGGCCGAGTTGACTTGTGGCCGAGTTGACTTGTGGCCGAGTTGCCTGTAGCCAAACTTTTTGTGGCCGAGTTGACTTGTGGCCGAGTTAACTTGTGGCCGAGTTGACTGTGGCCGAGTTGACTTGTGGCCGAGTTGGATCGAATTCGTAGCTAGGCTTGGCTATTGACAATACAGCAAGCCTAGCTAGGGCTAGCTAGGCCTCCTGCTGCTCACATGACAAATCAGACCACACCACCACCACTTTTCTGGTTTACTGGATTCCCGTAACTACTGAGACCGAGGCAAACACTCAGTGCTTAAAAGCCCCTCTTGTAAATAAAATCACTGTTAGCGTATGGCGCAAACTTCAGTGGATGGTTGGACCATGCCTCATGTACTTGAAAATGACCAAAGGAGGATATGACCATGGAGGTATATTATTTGATACCTCCATGATGCAACATGTACTCAGACAACTCGTGAGTTGGTAGAGATCAGTGACTCAGACAGTACAACTTGATTGAGGGCGCTATTTTGACTCTCATTCATCAGAGAGCAGTTCAGTCATCATCAACAATGGCGGAAAAACAAGCTTCTGGGAGCAGAGCAAATTCGAGACGAAGGTAATTAATCTTGGTATCTTTAAATTTATTTGATGATTATTTAATTTAAGATGGCTTAATGCAAGAATTTGTAAGGAACTATCAAAAGGCCTTGTCATTTTTTTTGGAGCAGCTTAGGCCTAGGTAGGCACAGTCACGTCTTTATTCTTTGTTGTTGTACTTGTTGTAGGCCCCTAGCCAAGGCTAGGCCCTTAGGCTGGCTAAGCCCCTAGCTAGGGATAGGCCCTGGTTTCCAGTATGCCCTAGGCCTGGATAGTACTAGGCCTAGCCATAAAGTCTAGGCTACATGGTAGGCCCATTCTACTTAAGTTACTACATAAGGCTAGGGCTACCAGACAATATGAGAAACTTAATATGCAGTGTATGTTAGGGACCTTTTTGCTTGCATACAGTGTAGGCCTATGCTGAGGCTTTTGGGGCCCAATGCAATACAACTTCTCCTTGCGCAACTTAAAGTAAAAATGAAATGCTTTATGGCAATTCGTCATCCAATGAAATAGATTTGCTTCCACTAACACTTACTGTTAGGCTTAATGTGACTTTCTCTGAGTGGTGTAAAGAAGAGGCATGATCAGCGTTCGATTTCCAGCATTTTTTGTGTGTAGCAAAAAGTGCTATGCAATTTATGTTTTGTGTAGCAATTCCAAAATTGTTTACAACAATTTTTCTGCCGTGATAATGAATGATTATTGAATTGAAAAAAAGAAATGACACTTCAATTCAAGAAGATTGCAGTGATGCATCTTTTTTTTCAGCACTAAAAAATTATTTAAGAAAAAAAATGTCTCATCCTCACTCTCTAATCTGGCAGTGACAGTGTTATGAACAAACGATGTTACCTAAGCCTACAATGTACAACTGACAGTCGGCCTACAGTAGGTCTATGAATAGATCAATTTGTTTTAAGCGTTTTAATTTATTACTGAAGGTTCGTATAACTATGTACATGTAGCATTGTATGTGTGCATCCAATGTAAACAAGCATATTGCACTATTTTTGGCCCAAAAGATTGAATAACAACTTGATATTGACTGTTTCTAAAACAATTTTCAGGACTTTTTTGTGCACCAAGCCTCTTAGTTTTTACAGCCAGGCCTTGCTGAAGACTGAGCCGGTTAATTCTAGGCAAATAATTGCGTCACATTTTATTGTGATGCATTTGTGGAAGTGCTTCGCAATTAGTTTAAAATGCGTCGCATTTTGCGATGCGATACTGGGTAAATCGAACATTGGGCATGATGTGCTCTAGTTGCCCCTAATACGGTTTCGCATCCGGCTGTAAAAATGGTTACTAAATTATTTAACACTTTAACTACAATTATTCAACACAATGTATTTTGGATGATTTGACCTCAATATAATCCACTTATTATCTGATAAATGGTTTCTAATTGAGTTAATTAATTACCAATAATTTGGACGGTTAATATCTTCACTATACTGTAATTATCATAACACACCTAGCTTGTGGTGTACTGTACCGGCTTTGTGGTGTTGCCAGAATCAGTGTGATGCAAAACCGTATTAGTGTTAAATAATTGTAAGATAATTTGGTATTACTGATTTTACTACAGCTGCATGCTAAACTGTTTTAGCAAAGCAAAGTAAATTAATGATATTTTGATTTGGTCTAATTTCTAAGTAAGTTTATAATTTGATTTTGAAAACTGTTTATTGTTTAAACATGCCAAGCTTAGTTAATTCTAATTTTTTTTTTTTGTGAATAGATTTTATTTAAAAAAATGGAATGTAGACTAGTGACTATCATTAGTAAATTGGATGACAATATCTTACTGATGGCCCTTTACTTTTCCAAACAAGTCAGTTTTAAACATTAATAATTTCAGTTGATATTTTTACGGTTATTGCTTTCTAATAAATAGATATAAAAATAATATACACACGTACTGTATGTAGAGGAACCGCCAAAAAATATGTTTCCCTTACAAATCAGTATAGGATTAGTTTAATTGCAGTAGGGCCATTATTATGCTTCAATTGTTTATTTTTTTTAACCATATTTATAGAGTGACCCTTCCAGCGTATCACAGAAGGTCAGCTGGTATCCAGGGGCCCTCTAAAATAGATGAAATTTTATGTGATGCATTTATTAGTACAAGCTCTACACCACATTTTAATGCAAGTACTAAAATACATGCCAAATGGATGGCAATTCACTGCATGTTGTTGAAATTACCTAGTTATTAATTGTAGTTGACAGTAAGCCATTTAAATAAATTTTGAAGAATTTGTTTTACTGTTTGTTGCTTTTATTTTCAATTTCCAAGCTCAACAAGTGCTGACGAAAGTGTCGAAGAAGCTTGTAAGATAACACCCTTGACCCCAAGTCAGTCACCAGAAAAGAATGATACCGATTCTGATTCAGGTAAAGGAGAAGAACTGAAAACAATGAAAATTTCAGAATCCGATAATGAAGGTGAAAGCAGCATTTCTAAAAATGGCAGCAAAGATGCCAAAATGAAAGGAGATTCAGCTGCTAGCACAGATAATGGAAAAGATGGTGAGGATTCGGAAGGGCCGCTGGAAGAAGATACCAGGTTACCTGAAGGATGGAGGAGAAAAGTAACTCAAAGACTGACAGGGAAATCAGCAGGAAAATATGATGTATACTTGATAAGGTATTTTATTTATTGTGTGGATTACAGTAGTTTTCCCATATGTGAGGTCTTACCACGAAAAGAGGCGCATCGTTGGTGAAATCATATTGAGATATTCACCAAAATAGGTCAAAGGCAACATTTTTACAAAATTTTGATTTTAATGTTTTTTGAATAACTTGATACTTATATTTTATGATTGTATACTTTTTAAGTGAATTTTCTTACTAAAACAGTGTTCTCTTCAAATATTCTGTAATTCTAGTCCTATTATTTGTACAGGTTAGTTTATCTTTGAGGCCAATTTTCTCAAAACCTGGTTCTTATACACCTAAACTTTAAATGCTAACATCTCTGGATCAATTTATCCTAGGAAAGCCGTTCAAAGACCAAATTAAAGCTTATAATGTTATCTACCAAAATGTAATATTAACTCATTTTTTGATTTTCACGATGAGACTCATTTTGTAGTGAGACCTTACATATTAAGTTCACATTAGGACAATTTATTGAAATTTATAATTGCATTTTGTTTTGCTGAGTATTTTGAAAACAATAATAAATGATTTGAGTTTATAATAATTGTCAGTTTTGGCATTTTAATTTTTACCTTCTGGGTAGTTTTCCTAAACCTTGACACTATATGAAATTTGGCTAGGCCTTACTGTAATTATAGCATGCAGTAAAGTTAGCTTGTGTGTCTACAGTAATAGCAAACTAGAGAGTACAGTACACTTGAATTTGCTTAAGTCGACTTTACCTAACTCGAATAATTTCTAAGTCGAACAAATTTTACATGGCAGATTGTTGTGTTTCCATTAGTTAAAATCTGTAAGTTGAATTTTATCAAAGTCAAAGTTAATTTTAATTGGCAATTTGGATTCGGCTTAGGCAAGTTCAACTGTAAATGAATTTAATGTATTTGAATTTTAAATGAAGTAATGGTTTCTAAGAATTCCATTACCTTGTTATCTCATAATCTCGATAATATTTTATATTAATTATATTCTATATTTTCTCCTACTCTTTTGTACTTTTTTCTGTTCTGCATTTAGTCCGAAGGGCAAACGTTTTCGTTCCCGTAATGAATTAGCAGCTTTCTTTAAGGACATTTCATCTGATTATGATGCTAATGACTTTGACTTTACTGTACGTGGAACAGGAAATAAAACAAAGATGACAACAGCTAAGGTGAAACCAGCAACACCAAAAAAGAAACCGACAAAAAAAGTGACAAAGAAACCAGTAAAAGCTACACCTGAGAAAAAAAAGACTAAACCAAAACCTAAATCACCAGCAGGTAAGACAATCCGCAAAGTTGCGCAGCCTTCAACTGATAAAAAAAGTAAAATATACAATAAAGAACAAGCGAAGCAAAAGCTTCTTGTGAAATTAAACTTCAGAGGAAAAGGAGATGAAAATGAGGAGGAGAAGGCAGAAGCAAGTGCACCGAAAAAAGCAAGGAAAGAAAGTAAATGAATTGAAACTCTCCAAATTTTGATCAATTTCTAAATCCCAACGTTGATTCTGTTAGTATTTTCAGATTTTTTTTTTTTTAATGAAATTCTTATCCAATTCATGTGAAATTGGAATAGAAATGAATTATTCAGTTTTCTTTTGAGAATAAAGTAACAAAATTATCCGTAGCTGCTCAGATGTCTAATTTTGTATCCAAACTATGCAGCTATATTTTAACTTAATTTTGTAGTCATTGTTATTTATTATAATTTATATTCAACTTCTTAACAGGTCTAGATTATGCAGACAAGAAATGATTGATAATGTGATGTCATTCATTTTAATAATTTAATGCTTTTTGGAACAACCCCACTTATTGTGCAAGATATTGGCATTATCACAATTTTAATGTTTACAAAGTAATTTATATTATTATAGAGATGTTCTTATAGAATATGTAGATAAGAAGAGAAGCTAATAGAATTTAAAACATGGGTAAACGCTGGATTTTAAATTAGCTGTGTGGGTTTTTTTGTTTTTTCATTTTTGATTTAATTATAAATGGGTTATGACTCTGAAAGAATTGCAACTTTCTCAATTTTGTTTGTTTGATTTAATATAATTGTTCATTTGCTAGTTCCTTTTTTGTAAACCAAAATACAGTAACACGTACTGTATTTACCTTGCTATGTTTTGGTTGCTCCTTGGCTAACCCTAGCTATTGAGGACAATCTGTAGCTTACGTCACATGGTGTACTTTTTTAGTTGGCATTCACAATACACTATCGTGATACCAACACACAATCTACAGATTGTCGTCATGAGGGTGATCAAAGTTAGCCTCGGAGCAACCAAAACGTAGCAAGGTTTTATAGCTATATTGGCCTACAAAAAAGGAACAAATCAATACAGTAAACTGATGAAACCAGATGAAATTCAGTGTGATATAAGTGATGTGTGTATCAGTCTGTGTTTTACCAGTTATTTTATGTAATCCGTGATTCCAAGTTAACTTTCTATCATTTTTTATGATAATATGTTGATGATATAAAAATTTTGAAAGCTCTTTAAAATTAATAATATTGTTTTAGTGTTTTCCCTTGATTTTTTAAATTTGTATATTGCTGATAAACAATGTATAGGTGTTTAAACCCTGTTTGTTTTCTTAATGCCTACTACACCCATGCTACACCATATAAATTTAAAACAACAATTTTTAATAATGTTTGTGTATCATTTTATGGTGACATTTTGTTATTTAATGTGTACTGCTGTTAATAATGATTCTAGGTGGATGATATTTGTTTAAAGTTTGCCTGCAAAATGTAAAACAAAGGTGTCAAGTTAATGAAATTTTGGAATAAAATTTTACAATTATTGTTTTTAACAAATTATTGACTACATGCTAGATATTTGGTATTCAGTGTCTTTTCTTTTATTATTATTATTTTTTTTCCATTTAATATTGCCAGTTACAAGAAGCATAATAATAATTTCATCCTTTTGACTTCATAAATGTTTAATCTCGTGTTAGTGGTAACATTTCGTGAGACCATCAGAGATACTGTAATATTATTTGATAAAGATAAATGCCATGAGCTGATTTTGTGACTCCCATGATTCAATTTAAGAACACAATTTTAACATTTTCTAAAAAGAATGTAATAACCTGAAAACATTTAACTTTTGGAATTTTAATAGTAATTTTTCTGTAATAATTTTATAGCTATCACACTGAATTGTTCAGAACTATTAAAGTAAGTACTAAAACCGTTACAGATGGACTGCCAGTTTGCAAATGTATGAAATTTCATAGTTTATAAAATTATTGTTATTGTTCCTTATTTTTTATATTATTTATTAGACATTCTATAATATTTATTGACTTTTTTCTAGTATTCTCAAGAGACAAAACTTTTTAACTATTTACAGTTGAACTTGCCTATTAAGTCGAATCCAAAATGCCATTGAAATATTGTTCGACCTAGATAAAATTCAACTTACAGATTGTTAATTAATGGAAAACACAACAATTTGGCATGTAAAATAAGATCGTCTTAGAAATTAAACCACTTAGGCAAGTTTAACTGTAGCCTTTAAGTTTAAACAGGTACAGTAACGGTCTACTGTTTATACAGCTACTGTATTTAACTTTTGAAATAATCATTTCATAAGATGCATGAAATGTTGTTTTGTCCTCATATAAAAACATACAAAGAACTTTTGGTTGATACAGCTTTTCAAATTTAAAAACATTAACATTTAAGACAAAAAAAAAATCAAATTGCAACAGACATGTAGTGCAAAGAACTACATGTACATGTTCCTTATTTAATGTATGATTAATACTTTTTTTACTGATTGATTTAATTGCAAGATATGTATGTGGCTGGAGATGACTGTTCTATTAGCATTACATCTTTTTAAAAAGTACTGTACATCAAATTATTTTGTATTTGTTATTCTTATACTTTAGTACCACTGCCACACATTCATAAATTAACTATTTTATGTTTAGAAAAAATTCCGGCACATTGAAATATTTAAAAAAAAAAGAGAGAATATTCTAAAAACAGCTCAAAAACTTTACAGTACCTTAACTTGCTAGACTCCAATTCAGTTATAGGAAGGTATAACATTATGTACTGTATTATCTTAGCACTTTATTAATTTGAGTACCAAGTTTCTTTTATAGGTACTGCAGCAAAGGGACAGGGCACCCTGCACTCAAGCCCTTTACACAAGAATAATGGAAAAAGAAAGACATCTTCTACCAGCGATGGAGTTTTGCAAAAGAAGATGAAAGCAAGTGAACATGAACCATCAGTTTCGACTAAATCCCTCCATCGACATGAGAAAGCTGTGAGTGCTGTAAAGAGATACTTGAAAAGTAATATGACAACAAGAAAGAGATCACCATACTTTAAGAAACAACCAATTCAAACGAGTTCCAACCAGCGAGTTCTTTGGACACCTCCAAAATCGCCTTATAATCTCATACAAGAATCGTTATTCCATGATCCTTGGAAGCTGTTGATTGGTACAATGTTTCTTAACAGAACAAAAGGTAAACACATTCAACAATAGTTGTGCTTCATTTCTGCAATATAAATACTAAATTTGTGAAAAGAAACGGTAAACAAAACACAATAGATAATTTATTAAGTAAATTTATCCTTACATTCATATATTATTGCATGGGTTTCATAATTACAGTTCTCCCTCTAATTAAAGACCACTCTTTAAAGATCACCCCCAATTAAAGACCACTTTACTGTGGTTCCAAATTTACTGATTTCTTTTATCTTCATTATTCTAATTAGAGACCAAAGTTGGTACCATTGAATAGACCAAATCGGCGGCTCAGGTCACGTGACTTATAGTTGGTATTAGGGTTTGTTTACATCTGTCGGGATCGTGAGACAACAGTGCATTGAATGTGGCTTTGCGTTGTTGTTGATGTAAGTCATATATATAGATGTTGCAAATGTTGGTTGGAATGCGAGTTATAATTTGGTAAATCACTTAGAAGTTTTCCAAAATTAAATTTTCAAACACTTATCAGTTTGGTTTGGTAAGGCTCCAATGGATAGTGGGAATAAAGCCTGGAATTTTTTCAAGGAAAGGTATGGTACTTTCAAGATGTGTATATTGCTCCAGTGAGTCGTCACCGGCTGAGGTAGTTTCTAGGCCTAAGTCAAGAATACTATCTATTGCAAATGCTATCGCAGCATGAGAAAAAAAAATAAAAAATCTTCAAATTCGTTGCAAGAGCATTATTTTACAGTTATTTTAAATCGAAAATTAAATCATATGTTTTTAGTTACTGCCAAGGATAATGATCGTAATATGACATAACAAATATTATTATTACGTACTAGCATTAGGATGTACCATACCAAACAGGCATAATTATCACCAGCCTATTTCATAGACCAAGTTTGTTTGAGCAATCAGTACCATTAAGGATTATTTTCTACTTAATACCTACTCGACTACAGAGATATATATAGTCGAGGCATAACTCCTTCCCTGTTTTGGGCCCAGGCCAAGGTACGGTACCTTCACGAAGTGTATATTGCTCCGTGGAATCGTCGTCGTCAGCTACAGATACTTTTTAGGCCTAAGTCAAGAATAATATTCATGGCAAATGCAGCATGAATAAAATAAATAACGAATCTATCTATTCATTGCAAGAGTATTATTTTACAGTTATTTTAAATGCAAAATTTAATCATAGGATGTTTGTAGTTACTGCCAAGGATAATGATCATCTTATGACATAACAAATATTATTATTACGTACTGGCATTTGGATGTATCATACCAACCAGGCCTGTGATTACCAGCCTGTTTCACAGGTTTGTTTGAACAATCAGTACCGTTAAAGGGTTATACCTACAGTACTCGACTACAGAGATATATACATGTAGTCGAGGCATAACAACTCCTCCCTGCTCCAGGCCCTGGTCAAGGCTTAGCACTCACAGTGCAGCCTAGGCCTATACCTGTATGTAGCCTACCGTACTCTAGTAGGATTCCAGACTCTAAATAAAGTGCACGGAGATTGCCAAAGTAATTATAAATCACTATTTAAAAAAAACAAAAAAACATAGGCTTATCTAAAAAACAACATAACTCTCTCAATATACTGTGTTCAATGAGCGCACTATGGTTTACGATGTGGATGTTTACATTTGATACTCACTATATGTCAGGTGACTAGTAATAGCTGGAGTTGCCGATTCGGTCTACTGGGGAGAGAGACCTGTATTACAATTCACAATTGGTGTTAAAAATTAAATCTTGTTTAAAAAGAATAGCAAAAAGTGTTACTGTTTTTTAACTACTTATGTTGAACGTGAGCTGTGATGCAACATTTTAATCCCATGGTCGTAAGTTAAGTTCTGTCTTTACAAACAGCAAGATCTGTAACAAAAAATATTTATGTTTGTTGTTTCCAAGGACAAGAACAAAAACATCAAAATTCAAATTACTAAATGTCCAGAGTTTTATATCAGACTAGTACGGCTCATCTATTTTTATCAAAATTCTTAACTACAAAAGCACAAAAAAATAAGAAAAAGAAACAAGCATTTCAAAATGGAAATTGATAGCTCCATAAGCCATAGAGGGATGTTTCCATGAGGTCCTAACAAAATACAACTGAAAAGGAGTAGGACCAATAGATGACACCAAAAGATTACAAAAATACACAGATAATTAAAATAATAATAATAATGATAAACATAATAATAAAAATATATAAATTAAAGCGAAATTTAAAAAAATACTGATAATAAAAAAAGAAGGTAATATATATTTATGTTAAATAACCTTAACAAATGCCCTCATCAATATTGTTAATTAATGAGCAAGGCATGAGTGAGTAAATATTTTATTCTTAGATGAAATTTGGTGTTCCCTTTTATGGCATTAGTCAAATTATCCCTCATTTATTCAAAAATATAAAATTTTGTTTTCTTACTTAGCAAATATTTTTGCTAAAACAACATCCAGACGGAGGAAAAATAAAATTTTATTGGTGAATGTAAACAGTCTAGTAATATGATGGCTAAATGCTTAAATTTTTATAATTAGGAAGAAATATACATAACTTATTTTTGGAGATTTCAAGGCCACGACAGGCGTAATAAAAATGAAGAGAAAATCTCATTTTTCTCCGAAATTTCCATTTTTTTTCGTGGTGGCGGGTGCGCTAACTGGCCAAAAAGGGGACACTTTTAGGGGCGAAGAAAGTCATTGATTGAGTGCTTAGTCCACATCTTAAGCGTCTTGAGCATCTTGTATTAGATGGATACGGCGCTATATAATACTACACTATTAATCAATAATGAATAATCTCTGTCTAGGTGTTGCTGCTATTCCTGTACTATGGGAGTTCTTTGAGCTGTATCCCACAGCTGAAGTAACTCGCAATGCAGAATGGGAACCAATTGCAGAACTCATTGAACATCTTGGTTTGAGTACGAAAAGAGCAAAAATGATGATAAGGTTTTCAGGTATGACAATAAGCCACATCGTAATTTGAACTGCACATGCCTGTGTCGAAGGTCAATCAACGTAAACAGTATGCGTGTGTTGATTGACCTTTGATACGGGAATTCTATAAAGTGGCTTATATTGCAATATAGTCCCTATATATTAAAAGTACTGTAGGGAAGTTCTAGCTACAACAAATAAACAGTTTATACCATTGCAGCATATGGTTGCACTGCAATAAATTTGGTGTATGTCATGCTTGTGTGTAACTGTACACATATTAATTCTTATTTTCTATGTTTAGTATGCAGTGGCTTAGGAAACTTGAGATGGGGGCGGGCAGACAGATGGGGATGCAAAAGTGAAGTGCGGGTTCAAAGATTAAGTGAGGGGCGCTTCCTGGCAAAATAGGGTGATAAGTGATTTTTAACTACATGAGCATAATTGTTTTGCTTCAAAAATATTCAGTGGGTGCCTTCTCCCCCCCCCCATCCCCACTTTTGTGATTTCCTTTTCAGCTCACTCTCTGAGAGAGGGCTTATAGCATGATTTTGAGCAAAACATGAATCTTAATTTGTGATGCGATTTGACTATAACCTAAGTATGGTTAATTCAACTCCTCTCCTACCTTAATTATGCTATCGTTCATTTGTGTATTAAATGAATAGATCATTGCTGTCTTCAATGTATGCCTGCTGTACATCACATTTAATTCAAGCTCAATTGCAGGGCCAGATATGTATTTGACATGACGGTGTACAACACTCACATAGAATTAATAATATAAACAAAATATGTGCACATTTAAATGGAATTGCACATAGTTGCCTTAATAATTGCTGCGAAGCAGCCAATTCATATTCTTGACAGAAATTTGACCTCTGAAAGGTCATTGTTTGTCAAAAAACAATCGCCTAAGACAACTGAAAAGCGGAGTTTCCTTCTTTCGTTCTGCCGGGTAAAATCAATTACTCTAGGTGACGTTTGTAGACTAACCTACTTGTACCAACGTCGGCATGTCGCGACGCTGGAGTACTATTCAGCGTTTTTACTATATTTCTAGGTTTCCTATTTCTGCGTTTAATCGGCTCATGTCTCAGCCACAATATTTTGAGGCCAATATTATTTACGAACCCAGTTAAACTTGTTTACTAGCCTATTTCAACGTGTTAATTATTACATTTAGGCGACGCTTGTTGTAGACTGGCATAGTGTTTTCGGAAATAAATACCATTTTATACACATGCGCAGATCGATTCGACAGCAGCGAGTCATCGCCAGCAGCAGCGAGTCGCCAGCAGAGAGATGTCACTGCAAGAAAACACTATTGTACACGGTACCAACGCTGTTCTAATATAGACAATGGGTCGTGCTCATATTATTTGTTATATTTTTATTATTCATTATTTTCACTTGACTCGCATAAATAATTTTTTTCGAAGAACATTTTATGCAGTTGTACTTCGCAGCACTTCACTTGCAATTTGCAATTTCTAGTAGTAATGTTATATTTATATAAGGCATATTGCACATTGCCCCTATGAGCTTTACACAGAAATAATATAGGCCAACCGAGAAAATACAAATGATAATATAACAATGAAATAAAATTAGAAATAATGATAACAAAGCAATGAGGCTAAAACTACTTGTATACCTTAACTAATTAATGGTTGGCCACTGATTCCTAGGAGCTCATCAGCCCTTTGTTTAGCTACTGTATTGGTTTTTCTTGCTGCTGGGTGACCATAAACACCCTCCTTCAAACGTTTCACCAAAAACCTATACTAAGTATTGTAGTGTATTCTATTGCTGTATAAATCCTAGGTGATATACAACCCAACAGCAATTTTGATGTTGCCTCCTGAACGAAAAATATATATTAAAAAACCCTGAATGAGGCATGCCATTCAAAACCAGCGTACTGCCGCATGTTAAACTGAGTAAATAGCATTAGAATGTGGCAGTGGTGTACACTTTAGTACAAAGAATCGAGGGGTTCTTATAAGAACTTATTAAATACTTTTTGAATGAAAAACAATTATATAATGATAACCTCAAATTACAAATGGTGGGGCGGCGGAAAATATAATCGTCTAGAGAGCATGGCTCGTCATGACAAGATATATGTTGTGAGTATTTACATAACAGCAAAATAGCAGATGAAATTAGTGGTTGTGGTGGTTAGCTTGTTGTCCATCGGCCGATTGAGATTAGGAGGATGGCATGATCTTTGCAGGTTTTCTTGAAACCTCAGATGATAATGTGTTAAAGGTGCAAATTGTCGGAAAAGGAGTAGGACTAGGCATAGACAAATGTAAGAAGATGAAATACTGTCTGTCCAGGGAGCTACAAGAGAAATATCCTCATTTTGATATTGACCAAGGAGAATGTGATTCCACTCCGCAGCTCAAATCATGCCAACAACCACAGTCACAGGATTGATTGGATCGTTGACTTGCTAAAAAAAAAAATCGTACTATTGAAGGGGTGCTTATTCAAATTTGAAGGGGCGCTTATTCAAACGTGGCACTTAAGAAAGTTTTCACGTTAGGAAAGGTGCTTATTCGCGCAAGTACGGTTATTGAATGTAAAGAGTAAAAATGTCTTTGCAAGCACACTAAATACATAAACTTTTCACCAAAAATATTCTTGCCGCCCATAGTATAAATCAAGAAGTCAATTTGTTTCCCAACTCATTTTATGCCCACACCCTGGTGGTATAAATAAAACATAGCTTGTATACCAGAGTCCCAGGTGTGGTTTTGTTAAACTCTATCTGATACTTAATGATGTAGTATTAGACAAGTCTATTGTCAAGTTTGCTTTTCAATCCCTTACATTTGCAAGCTGATCTCTGTTGCTGGAGTGAGGCTTTGAAGGTACGAGTTATAATAGCTTATTGTATATTATGTATTTTTCAGATGAATATTTATCTAAAGACTGGGTGGATGCTGATGAATTGCATGGTATTGGGAAATATGGAAATGATTCCTACAAAATATTCTGTCTTGGAAAATGGAAGGAGGTAGGCCAGTGAGCAGAGATTCTTGGATTTTAAGCTCAGGCTGTCTGCACTATCACATTTTCTTTGACAAAAATCTGTTGTATGCTCATATATGGTCATGATGTGCCCATATATGGTCATGATGTGCCCATATATAGTCATGATGCGCCTGTGTTTTTAGGCATTTCACATGTTCTTTTCCAATAAAATTTGATAGTCTGGACAAGGCCTTAGATATTTTTAAATATTGAATATTAAAGGTGTTTTCTTATTATCTGCTTCCTTGAATTTTACTGTAATAAAATTATCAAATTTTACTCTTGTTTGTCTGAAGAAATGAAACTAAATTAAAAGTGAATCCATTTAATAGAAGGATGTTTTAGTTAGCAAAATATAGATTCATGTCTAGAACATGGTGTTATGCTGACCTCTATTATATGCAGTCTAGAAGTAATAAAGCCAATACGTAGTTAGAACTGCGCATGCCCATATCCAAGGTCAATTGATTGGCCTTAATATGTGCAAATGCACAGTTCAAACTACTGTACGACTGGCTTTTTGATCAATTGTCAGATTTTTAGGTAGGCCTAATGTATGGAGACGTTTAGATTTTTAACTATGTTGCAATAATTTAATTGTAAGCCTATGTATTAACTGAACTTTTAAACAATTATTTTATTTTCTTTTAAAATGTTTTATTTAATTTTTTTTGATTTTTTTTTTTAAATTCTTAAGTGTTTGTAAGTATTAGTTGCCTCGGTGCCAGAGCTTTTAAAATCATTAAATTATTATCCAAAATATAATTAATTGTTTTCATATTTCAGGTTCACCCTACTGACCACATGCTCAATAAATACCATGACTGGCTGTGGGAAAACTACAAGGAACTTGGTCTTGAATAGACCACTTGGTCAATGATGTCCAGAACATACAGTTAAGTGTAGGCCAGAGGACAGTAAGTTTGTGATTGCTCAAGAATTAGTGGATACAAGTTTTATATGGCTCAGGTTTACTTTCAAAATGTCATCATTGTACATCTAATTACAAGTGATACATTAAATAATATACAATGCATATAAAATATTCGAAGATTTAATGGCAAGTCATAACGTTTAAACTACAGTAATATTGATATTTTAAAGGCATGATTTAGAAAGGAATTATTGAATTTTAAAATGTTGTAATAGGTTTCTTAGCTTATATTATTCATTATGGTGGTTGATATACAGTACAGTATACTGTATATAATATGTAAACTTTAAAATAAGGTCTAAAAAACAGTACATGATTGCTGCTTGTAGAAAAAGGTTTAACACATCTTTATTGACTTTATAGTGCTGGAATAAGTGACGATTTTTAAGAATAGATTGCAGGGAAAAAAATGGTTTAGCCAATGCCACTGCGATTTTGCAATCTCTTTGTAGATTTGTCTTCAGCAAAATAGAATTGCTAGTAACTTTGTCATACGGTGGATGACGTTCCTAGTCATTCGTTCGCATTCTCCACCTTCTTTTAAGATTTTGTTCCCCTCTGCCTTCCTGCGCATTTATGCTTATCATTTTCAAATTGAAACTTGGACTTGAAGCAAAATTACAACAAGGTGGTGTATAGGTGTATGTGTGTTAACCTAAATATAATGGGTTCATTTTATAAGATCATTGAGTATCACTAATTATTCTATGATATATTCTACCTAGTAAGTTCTTATTTGTTTAGTGGAGAGCTTTATATATATATATATATTTGTGATGGGATGATTCACTGAATGATTTTCACTGATTCACTGATGATTTTGCGGTCAAAATTTCAATGAATGTGGTCGGTGTTAATACTGATTATTTCTTAGTAATTTGATCGAATACAATGTGGACGAAATTTTTATGATGTGGCAATATAATAAAGCAGCTTTTAATATTTGAATGTAATTATATTTCCTCTTATTCACTTATGAACCATGCAGTTTTCCTACTTAGATGTACAGAGTTTTACACATCAATATGTGTCATATTCAATCATTCATTGGAACTTGTATCTACAGTTATTTATAATTTCATTGTTGAATGTGAATCCAATAGTAACCAGTGATTCTCTAAACAAGATGTTTATAAAACCCTGTCCAGACTATCAAATCTTATTTGACAAAAACATGTGACATGCCTAAGTAGGGTCATGATGACATCACATCATGACCATATATAGGCACATCATATCTATATATGGGCATACAGCAGTTTTTTGTCAAAGAAAATTTGATGGTGTGGACACGGCTTAAGATTCAGCTTTATCCACACTCTAAAAGTTAATTGGTCAAATTTGTGTAAATTGCCTATCTATGAGCGTGATGATTTCTAGTCACATTCATATATGGGCATGGTGATGTCATATCATACACATATATGGGCAAATCACAGGTATTTGATTGGACTTCGATGCAGTAGATTGGATTGGATTGGATTTATTCGGTGTAAACACCAATGATAGCCCACGAAAGTCTAGAATAAGACTTATTTTCAGTGGGGTCCTTCTGGTGGTGATTGGACAGTACACCGGGAGACAATCCCCTAGTCTTTTCCGGAAAGTGTACTGCGTTCTTTAACGTGCACATGGGCCATAAATGCACACGGGACCAACGGCTTAAACGTCTCATCCGAAAGACGGTGCGGTATTGTAACTTGTATTTCAGCCCTCCAGCTGAAACACAAGGAGAGGCAGCGATGGGAATTGAACCAGGGACCTAGAGATCTCTAGCTTTAGATCATTATCTAAAGCTGGGCAATCTAACCTAAAAATTGTCCAAAAGTTAAACAAGTTGCGAAATTTTTAATTTTATTTAAAGATAAATGGTGAGGGTATGAAATTCCAGAAATCACATCTTTGTTTTATGCAAATTAGCTGTAAAGTTGAAGCGCTTTAATATCTCCGTAACTGCTGGTCACAAAGAGTTGCTTTTTTATTAAGTTCAGAATATCCATGTTTTCTATTTTCTCTATGAATCATTTCCCCCTAAATAATGAATGAGAATAATACAATATCTTTTATTGTCTACCACGATAGATACTTGATTTGGTCTCAAATAATTGAAATACAGTAGTGTACATTTTGGAAATTTTACCTCCTCATAATGGGTTATTAAAAACATATCTTAATTTTCATTTCAAATTCCAGCCTAAGATGGAGACCACGATTTGTTGGATTACTGTATCAGACAATCATGGCAGGGGTGGCGCCAGAATTTGCCCGACGGGGAGGGGGAGACGGGGGGGGGGCAGGTCCCCGACGGGGGGCCGATGCCCCGACGAGGGGTTAGACTTCCCCGACGAAAGCAAAGTGGGCGTGGTCGAGCTTCGATTAAAAGGTCCCGAAAGTGGTCTTTGGGGCGAAGCCCCCGAAAATTTTGACAATTTTGGGGTTTCAAAGGCTTATTTAATCGATTTTAGAGTCTACTAATAGGCCTATATATATTACGAATTGTTGGAAAAAATTGAAATGGTATGCACGATTTTAGTGTGGTAACCAATAAGCAGGTTTACAAAACAGGTGAACCTGATGTTTGAACACCTCGTTGCTTGCTATTGTCTACCGTTTGTTTCATTACATTTTGTACCATTACGTTTTGTACCAAAATGTAATGGCTGACTCCAGGGGTGTATCCCGGATTTTTCTGGGTTGGTCGTGATTATATTTTTTTGACCTTTTCAGTGGGAGACAGGAAAATCGATTACAGCGCCACCAGCTTGAAGCGGATGGCCGGCTCAGTTTCAGAATTGCCGAAATTGAGATAGATTAGGTCACGCAATTGGCAAGGTCTTTGGACTCATTGCTGGTACCTCATCAATACTTTTTCATTTATGTCATTGTGAAAAGTCCCTAGAAAAAAAATATCTGGAAAAAAATGTGAACCATTGACATTTTTGGGGGTTTTTTTTGGGGGGGGGACGTACGACCTTCCCGACCTCCACCCCTTGCATACACCCATGGAGTCACTGCAAGTCACTATATGGGAAAAATTCTGAGAAAATGTAATAGCATATAAAACGGATACGTTGTTCAAAATGCATTTTCCCTTTCTCTTTCACGGAGTCATTCAAACACCTGATAATACAACAGTTAACAGGTGAATATCTACTGTAAATTATAAACGCAAGAAGTTTGATCAATAATGTTTGATGGACTGTAGAAAGCAATTACATAATTACTTATACTGTCCTTGAGTTTTAAGAATCACATCAGGCAGTACATATTTCTTTATTAGTACAAATCGTCATTATTATTTTTAGGTATGTTAAATAACGTAGTGTGGATTTGTATCTGATGTGGCTTCATCTGTCTGTTGGCGATTGTCTCGCACATGTTTAACTACAGTAGATGCCAAAATGAGCGTGAAAATCACAAATTGAATATAGCCTTACAGACAGATCTATATACTGTACTGTGGTATATTCCTGTGACGTCATGTATCTATGTGTTCGTTGGGATTATCTCCCACATGTTTCAACTAACTTACCTAATGAGCAAGGCAAACACGCATGGAATCACGACGTCACATTGTATAGACTTAATGACAAGTCTATGCAGCGTATTCAATATGACTTCATGTGTCTGTTGGCGATTGTCACGCCCATGTATAAATCTTGCAGACCCTATGGTATTACAATATTTAGGCCAAATCGTTAATTCTTAAATGGAAATTGTTTTAGATGATAAATATTAGTGAGATGCCCGTTAAGAAGAGAGCTGGTACAAAATCAATGTGGGGAGTGGTTGTGACTTCCTGTGAGTAGTCCTACTCTATCCACAATCACGTATCAGTCTCAGTGGATAATAATCCCCAAGTCTAATTGGAGGATAAATATACAGGAACCAACATATAAGACATAATGATAACATTGATGGTGATTGAATATGATAAAAGTGATATCTTGGTACATTATAATACTATATGGAGCATAAAGAAATGTAGGCCTATGCATTTAATTTCTTGAGAATGTAAGCCATCTGAATACGGTTGCATGTTTATAAGAAACTCAAAGGGCCTAATACATTGGTGTATCAGTATAATGTTGCTTGACATGCCCCTATTAGGCCTTCTGGTATAATGGGTTTTAAGTCATTAAAATAATAATAGTCAAAATTATTCATTAATGATCGAATTGTTTTTGTCTGCAATCTAAGTTTGTAAAATTCCTGACAAAACACTTACTGTATGATTATCAGTCATTACATTGCAATTATTTATTAATGTACTGCATCTTTAATCAGTTAAACGTTATAATGATAGTGATGATGTAATATTACAGTATAGCCTAGTTTTGGCAGTGAATGTGATAGTGGTATGACATTGGAATGGTGAAGATGAAGTTTACGATGATGACGAAGGGAACGACGGTGTCGCTGTTGTCTAATAGTGCGACCGTGACGACGACGATAATGATTATGGTGTTGCCCTGTACTCAATATTGATGATACTGATGAATAAGGGGAGCAGGAGAGTGGTGGTAGTTAAGGCGATTATAAAGCAGATAACGATCAAATATGTTGAGATAAATTGTTTGAAGAACAAAATATAGTAAATTGCATATTTGCATGTAATTCTACATACTAATATAAATTTAATTAATTAGATTATAATAATAATAATAATAGTAACAACAACAACAATAACAATAACAATAATAATAATAATAATAATAATAATAATAATAAATAAATAATAAATAATAATAATACTGTAATTATAGTATTGCGCTCTACCCAATACATTTTTATTGCAGATGATGATGGTGATGATGATGACAGTTGCGTACTTCCTGCATTTTAACTAACTGCATTTTAACCTTCTAACACAACTGTAAATTTTGAGCTGTTTTGTAACGGAAATGTTGAGTATAATTTCCAGAACTATAGAAATTCTGCATCATTCTGTGTTTTAATTAGGGATGAAATAAATCGACATCTTCGCTTCTTTTTTTTTGCTCCAATAAATGGGGTCCTCTCCATCACCTATTATGATTGAAAATATAACCATCCTTAATTTTGGTAGGATGGGACTCACGAATAATCATCAATATCTGAAAGTAATCATTCAGAGGAAACGTCTGTAGCATTATACGCTGATATTTTTTTTAATATGTTAAAATACGTTAATATTTCAGAGAGAAAAATTGCATCGAACAATAAACAGATAACAAAGTATGAATATTACCCCGTGATACGCAAGTTTGCAAAAATATTTCAACAGAAAAAACAAATTCACGATCTGTACTCGACTCCTGAACTAATTAATTGCCTTGCGTTTTCATTTAAATTCCTATAAGTGTGGTCATCTTTTTTTCTTTTTTTTTAACTTGGTGTCATCAGTAGATACAAATTTATAATATCCATCTTCAATAGGATTTTCGTTAATTCGTCTGATTTCAGTTTCAGTTTGTTCGAATTTACTTTTAACATCATCCACATGCTGAGCTTGTATATCGCGTGTTGTATTGTGTATTAGTGTGTTGTCTGTCTCATTGAAAGTTATCATTCCTTCTAATTCAGGACCAGGTTGACCTACTGAGGGCACTACTACATTTTCTGTGTAGACTAAATTTTGTCGCGATATAACCTCACTTTCTTCGATTGTTTCGTTTTTATCACCAGTTTGTAGAAGTTCTTTATTATTGTTTTCTAAATCCAAAGCTTCCATGACCTCGTTATCAATTCTAGATATTTGAGCCAATTGTTCAACGCTATTCAAGGTATCTTTATCCCCATACAGTCCATTATAATGACTACATTCGACGCTATTCAATGTATTGATTGCGTTGTTTTCCTCTATGCGATCTAATGAAGTTGAGCTGTGAGTCGATGGTAGTTTGTGCGTGCGATCTCCTAAAATAGAAAGGTCCTCTCGAATAGCCGATAGCTCTCTCATTCTCTCTAGGTCGTCTTTAAATTGACGTTTATCGTTTGTAAATTTATATTTTGTCCTGAGATTATTTTCATAAGCTTCACCTTCGACGACTTTCCATTTTTCTTTTTGAAGTTTTTTCTTAGATACTTTTCGTGACTTTTTATTGTGATCTGTAAAATGCAAATGTATAGTACTCTCTTGAATCCCTGACGGAGCGGCAGAGAGTTGATTTTCTAGTTCACCTACGTCGTCATTATGATGTTCTTGTGAGGCTTGCGATGCTGATATCGGTGGCAGAGGGTTTGCGTGGTTTAATGTGTAGCCATCTTGAAGGCTTATATCACATTGAGCGTAGTGGAAGCGACCATCCATCAGTTTTGCAGCTTGCTGCATCTGTAGTTTATAGTTCTGTACATACCGGTCTTCTGCCGACGGGAGTACAAATGGCTGATGTTGACCTTGTAGCTCTGGTCGCCATGTATTCATTTCTAATTCCCCTGTCCTGGTTGCTGCTAATTTCGTTGTAACGTGCCCCTCAGCTGATGGTCTTGTTTTCTTAGGTGGGGGAATTAAGTAAGAATTTTTCCCTTTCTTTCTATCGCTGTCGAAAACAGGACGCACCGCCATCACCCTCCTGGAATAAGAATAGAACGGTGTGAATATTTGCGAAATGAATTACTTGCACACGAAACAGGCCTATAATACGTATGGTGCCATCCTGGTGACTTGATAACAATTATTGTTTAAATGTATGGTCGCCAACCATGGGGTCACGGCACTGCATGTTTTGGTCGTCGTGAAAGAATTTTGTCAGGAACATTATGCTTTTAATTGATTGACGACTTAATAATAAGCAATTAGAGCTCCGCGTAGTACACTATAGGAAAATTATTATATGAAGGTTAGATTTAATGCTTGAAAATTTTTTTTGAATGCGTTAAATCCTACCTAAGTGTAATACGATGCATGTTGCTTTATAAGTCAATCACCGTCTTTAACTTTAAATTTTGATAACCAACTTGTGTAGCAGCCATCGGTTGCTGTGATATGATCAGTATACTGTGTGCGTATTTACATTTAGCTCTCCTGATCTGTGCTCCGGAGTACGTACGCGTTAACTACACAGAGCAGTACATAATTGTGTTAGAAAGAACTTGTTTGATGCTATTTTAATAGACATTCGTCAAAGCGGGGAACAAACTGTTCACTGGTCAAACAAATAAACATTTCAACATTCCAGAGAATACAGTCACTGACCTTTTTGGTCGGTGCATCCAGACAGGTAAAAATCATGCGATGATTTCATAACTAGGCTAGGCTACGGCTTAGTAGGAGGAGGCCTCGGCGAGCTCCTGCCTGGACGTAGGTCTACATCCAAATCTGTTCCTGGAGTCTTTAAAATAGGCCTAGGATATTCCTATTAAACGTTCAGTTTGTTTTGTTTATGAGGGTCTATTGATTCAATGAATTCTTTATTTGTTCATACTTAATATTGAATTTAAAGTAACTTTTTTCATGTGGTCATTAAGCTTGTTTTACGAAAGTGATTTTCAATTTTTAATTCAATTTTCATCGCGGTGCGCGATGTCTCCGCGGTGACGAAAAAATTAGAATTTTTTTTTTGTTTTTTGCACACGAACCTAAAAAAAAATCAAGCCAAGCGTCCATTATTGAAAAATTATTGGACTGTGGGGGATAGGCAAATAACATTGGGAGTTGCAATGATGACGTCACGATTGACTTATAATTGTTATTAGCATAGACTACTCATCCTCAAGTCCTTGTTATTCGGGGCTTTTTGTGAAGGCCTGATTAATTAAAAATCAATTTAGTAAATTACTATAAGCAAAAAATGTTGAATTTCAAGTTTAAAATAATTAAAATTAGTTTGAATTATGAAAGTGTGCTATTTTCGGGTTTCTAAAAACGTCACACCCCGAGGGCTCTACGAGGTAAAATGTTGCTGACTGCGAGATGTTTGTTTTATGCAAATAATGAAGCGTAACATTTCAACATTGGACATTATTTTGTATACATACTACGTTATCACCATCATCGTCATCATTATCATCGTCGTCACCTTCATTGTCAGCATCATCGTCATCATCATCAGCAGCAGCATTGTAATTAATTATGTTGTTACTTCAAATATTTTCATCTGGGTACTAAAACTAAGGTAAATTACTTTCTGAGAAAGTGCTCGTGTATATCACATCGTTTAAAATAAAATATAACCTAAACCTTGTTAATGTTATTATTTTTGTTATTCTAATTATTACCGATATTATTAGTATTGCTAGTATTGAATATGAGCATGATCAGGACGGTAATTATTGTTTCTGCGAAGAATAACTGATTTATCATGTACAGAGTACCGTACTGTATTGCATTTACTCACTTTATAAGAGACTGCTGTTGTATGGCGTAAGGCGCTCTTGGAGGTCTGTAAGCTCTGTGGAATAAAAGCATCTATTATTAATAATGTAAAAAAAATGTCCTTCACTTTGAAATTGATGTTATAGCCTGTCACAACACAAAGGTGCGGACAAGATGTAAATCAAATAAATGTGGATGTTGTGACGTGTATAATTTTAAGATAACTAATAACAAACAATGTAAGAGAAACAACATCGAATTTAATAGGACAAAACACCACTAGCGAGTTTTGTTAACGAGTATTTTGAACAACGTACTATGATATTTTCCTGACGCGCGCAGCCACACATCGAAATAGGGAGCTTTTGATTGCACGACGACGATAGGAAATTGAACGTAATGACGTCACTAAAAGTCATCTGCGGCATGCGAGAACGTTAAGTCTCCTCGTCGCTTGGATTATAGGACTCAATTTGGCCAAATCTACCTATGCAAATAGTAACGTACGACGCCCGGTAGGAGGACGGTCACGCATGGGGGGTTTCGTTCTAGCGTCGCGTCGTCACGCAATCGAAAGCGCCCTAAATTTGCGATACTCACTGCTACTCAGGGATCAGATCCAACACAGTCACTAAACGCAAGCTCGGTGGTCTAGTTGTCATGATACCAGGTTAGTGTGGAGGTCGAAGAATTGATTCTCAACCGAATCGCTTTTATTTTCCTGACGCACACATCGAAATAGCATTTTCAGTACCCACTGTGACTAGAGATTGGATCTCAACATTAGTCACTAAGCGCAAGCTCGGTGGTCTAGTGGTTATGACACCAGGATAATTATCGGGGGGTCGTGGGTTCGAATTCCACCTGAACACGAGAGCAAAACATCGCTCCTATAACATCCTATATCGCTCCTATAATTTCAAAAGTATGAATTGACGAGTTGATTGGCTGGACGGTTAAGGCAGGGGCGCCGAAACCTACAACTATTGGCGCTGGTTCGAACGACACGCTCGCCAATATATGGTTCTGGCACCCGATTCTACCTAAATGATCTGATACGGTAAATATCAGTTTCGGTGACAAACAATATTCATGATAGTCATGATGACGTCACCAAACCTGATTAGCGGATTCTCATCAGATGATTGATAACTGGTGCTGGCACCAGTATAGAAGTGTATCAGCATTTTATTTGTCACCGAAAATGCAAGAAACAAGAAAACCAACAGCAGGTATATTTCCACTGGGGCTAATAAGGACTATAAACCGTAGGCCCAGTGTACACAATGGCTCGTGTGCACTATAAAGAACACAGTACATCATTTGTAGACGAGTAGAGGAATACCCCAGTGTATTGCTTGTACAATCAGCCCCTGTGGTGAAAGACGGGAGTTGCTGGGTACCGAGTTACCGAGACACCCTTAGAGGCGATGAAAGTCTTTGGTCTGCTACTAGTCCACACTTCAAGCCCCATGAGTATCTTGTTTGATGGATACGCGCTATACAAATGTAAACTATTATTATTATTATTAATTCCCTAAAATTTTCTATTTTTTTACAATGTTTGCTTACATATTTCAAATACAGTATATTATTTTTATACATTTTATACAGAACAATTGTTTTTTTTTTTGTTTTTTTGTAAGATTTAATGGTTGTCAAACGGCCTTGCAAGGCAACAACCATCTTACAAGCACAGTACAAAGATTGAGGAGAATATACGGACAGGAAGGAGGACAGCGCCCGGAAGTTAAAACAGGGCTGTCATTTGCCCACAGGGCAGAGCATGACCGTTACCAGTGGCAGGGGATTGTAAATAAATCATCATTAGTGCTTCAACAAGTTGACGGAATTGATTGAATGAAAAATAATCTGTATGAACTTCTTTTTTTTTTAATTATTTTTTTTTTTCAGCTATTTTTTTTAAATTATTGATCGTGTTTTCATTACGGTACTCTTTACTCCGTAATATATCCCCATAATAATGTAAATAAATGTGACCACATTTTGAAATGACGCTTTTTCATATTAGCATTTGAAATTCTGATACTAACTTGATAATCATTGGAGATTTGCCCATTACCACATTGTTTTCACCATTCCTTCGTTGTTTAACTCGTTGTACAAGCTGATGCATTGCTAGTCCTTTAGACTGACTCTCCGCAGGCGGGATTCTGGGCCAGAAGTGTTGCCTGACAGAATTAAAATAGTTTATGTTAGGAACATGTACCGGTATCTTACTTTAACGCTTTCTTGCTATAGTCGATCGTACATTATACAGTGTGTGGACAACACCCTTAGTGGGACGATGAAAAATATCTATGGAGATAAAACAAAAATGGTGTAATAGGGCAGGGGGAAGAAGATGAAAAAAAATGGATAATATGCAGAAAAAATGTTAAAATAGAAACTAGTATATGACAGGCCATTATATCAAATATTGTACAAATGTATACTGTATTTCACGTATACAACACGCCAATGTGTACAATTGCAATGTCTCTGGAGCAGTCTTTGCGATTTCACTCCTACATACCGTGAATTTCTCTCCTTAACTCTACGTAATATTCCTACTCGACATTGCCGACAGGCTAAACTCACTATGGATGTTTTTAGGTTCAGAGTTGGGGCCAAATTTATAAGGGTCAAAATTACAGTCACAGGGTTCATTTACCGACTATCCAAGACATGTACGAATAAAAATATCTTAAAAAGATTATTATTTTGCATGAAAGAGGTCGTTAAAGTATTGACCTTTCCGGAGTGTCAATCAAACTTAACAACTGACTAATCAGAACAGCGCTAGGAATACCCGCGCGTCTCACAAACACACGTGTTGTCCACAAACGCACGTGTTCGCTTACGGCCAACTCAGACAGCGTCGGCCGACGCAGCCCGACCCGATTTATCGTCGGGGACAGTCTTAAGCCGTCGTGAGAAATATTAAACATGTTTAATATTCTCAGAGCCATATATATAAAGAGTTGCGACATTCCGCTCCTTGGTTTACGAAAGTCACGTGGTACACACCGTCCATTTTGTTTCATAATCTTCCCGATGAACACATGCAAAGTATATGTGTTACGTACATTGCATATTAATTTCACACACTTAATTGGGTTTACAATTATATTTTATGATTAACATCACTTAGTATGGACAGCGTATAAAAATTCATATATAATCGAATATTTGCGCGCGTGCGTGCTCGCGTAAATTCCATGCTCGCGTAAATTATTGGAATGAATTAGAATTTTTTTTCAATTAATCGTTAATCTGTCTCTTATACACATCTAGATGTGTATAAGAGACAGCGTTTGGTTGCAAAAACCTATCTGATAGTACAAAGCTTTTCCGATTTCCGACTAATGAAAACAGAAGGAAAATATGGGAAGCAAAAGTTAGGCGATTAAATTGGAAATCTTCGACCAGCTCACGTCTTTGTATATATATATATCTTCCTTAATTATATAAATTTAAAGCATTTATCAATTGCATTATTACACTGTTTACGTTCTTCATTAAAATTTTATTTTTATTTTCTCGTTCGCCTAGATGCGTTTGGAAAAAATATTTCAGCTAAATAAGAAAAAAGTGTTTTTTTTTTTGCCCTTTTCTGACGATCTTTAAAAATTGTTCGCTAAACAATATTAAAAATTGTTTTTCTTAATTTCAATTGTTTTTACAGCCTGTATAAATACGAATGGCAATGATAATAAAGGTGATGTTTTATAATCTTAATGATTTGATGTTTCTATTGCATACTAATATATAATTAATATAACTTTTTTTTGGAAACGACGCTTTTAAAACAGCGGACACGCTCTTGCAGTGTGTTCATAATCTGTACAGCCATAATACAATATTAAAACAGAGGCGAGACTTTTAATACAATAAAATGTACGTTACACAATTACACAAGTTGAATATATCACAGATCCACTATATCATTTAACACTTACAATTATAATATTTACAGCAAAGCACAGTTTATATATTGCGGCCAACTGACTTATACTATTTTAATATTTATAAATAATAATAATCAAATTAATAACATAAGATTTGTACAGGCTTGTTCATATTCAAATTTAAAGAGCAACAATCTATATATATATACCCTATCGGATTTTAATTACATTTTGATATACATATTTAATAAATTTTTGCTAGTCGTCACATATCATTTATTTTGCAAAAATAACAGGAGCTAATTTAGGGTCTATATGGCAGAATTGCCTAATTGAAGAATGCTTGTCATCGAGGGGGCTCTCTCGGTCTATCGGCGAGGATTAAAGAACTGCATAAAAATAGTAAATTATTACAGTATTTATAATATGAAATTGGATATAAAGTAGTGAAATCATTAAAAGAAAAATCTATAATTACAGTTACATGAAATTCGACTGCTAAAAAGATTAAATGGAATTAAACTATACAGGAGGCTGTTAACTGTATTAATGTTATACACAGGAACGCACATCACGTTAGACACAGAACGCGCATCGCGTATGAAACAAAATGGCTTCTAAATTCTCAATGTCGCAACCATAGAGCTATTAAACAACTCTTTCTATCTATGGCTCTGAATATTCTACGACGCGACTGCCACCAACGCACACCATCGCGTCTGCGTTTAACTCACACAGACCCGACGCGACAACAAATCGCGTCGGGCTGCGTCGGCCGACGCTGTCTGAGTTGGCCTTTATGTTTTAACACTGTCGCTTTGTGGGACCTTAGCAACAATATCCAAGGGGCGGGACTTAGCGACAAGGTCCATTACAACACCAACAGTAAAAAGTCAACAAGAACTTAAATATTGAGGTCTCTGTGAGACAGTATCTCAGAGCTAGCCATTATTTTGCAGCTGCTCTAGGAATCTGGACCAGCTAATCACTTCGCTTGCAAGCTTTACCTTAATAAATTTATCTAAACTAAAACCTGGAATAATAGGCTTTAAACACACACTAATTTTGGTAGTTAAAATTTTAAATAAAAATATTCTTTTTAATGTTTGTATATTTCTGTACTGTATTATAACGGGTATTAGATAGTCATACCTATTGCACATACGGTACAGATAAGAATTGATGAGGTTTTTATTTTTAGTTTTTTAATAAAATTCTTATTGACTTTTACCTCAGCCTCAACTTGTTCTTTAAAAAATTGCTTAAAATAAGGACAAGAAAGTAACTTGAAACAATTTCATTTAGCTTCTTAATTGTATAGATGACGAATTTTTGATTTTTAAGCTATAATGGAAACGGAGTATTTACGCAGAACGTTTCGATCCCTATGAGAGATCTTTATCAACTGGCTGGTCAGCAATTTGAGCCTCAGTGTTCTTATAAAATGTGTTATAAACAATTTGTAATGTTAATATTAAAATTATAATAATTCATGTGTACGTATGCTTAAACCAGCATTAAAAGCATAATCAAGAAACCGTATATTGTCGATGATTTCGAGAGCCATGCCGCCCTAATAGCCACTAGTACTTCACGTCGGCTATCTGATGCTTTCCGAAATTCCGGATTTGAGTGAGAAAACTTCGCCCCCACCCCCCATTCAGACTACAGGTTATCCATTATTAATAAGGTTAAGGTTTGCTTTTTTTTTTAGGTCAAATAGATTTGATAGTTACATGTCCCCATACCATAGGCCTATACAATTGGCTAATTGAAAGTTGGCATGATTAGTTACGATGTACATTTCGCTGGTTACTATAGTGACATCAATCAGGATAAAGCACCTCATTGTTGAAAATCGAATAAAGAAACTCTGACTAAGGTGATAATTTAAAACTCAAAGAGCAAACAGTTAACCTCTGTGTTTACCCCCTGCTAAGTCATTTAGGCAAGTATACCGTAATTGACCCCATGCCAAGCCGCTAAAATTTCAGTGGCACTCTCGGGAATCCAAACCCACTGAGTTTTGTTTACAAGTCGAGCTGTTATGTCACAACTGGCAAACTTATTCTATACAGTAAAAACGGGTTGGGTTGGGTTGTGATCTTCTTTTGGCAAACGTATGTGAAGACGACTGTCTTGTGGTGTACATCTATGCCTATTTTATTACTGAACTGTATTATATTGGTTTAGGCTTACTGAAATAGGCTAATAACCGGATAAACTATAAACCATCTTAAATACAATAAACACTGACGGAATTTTCTATCAAATATTTAGGCTTTATTAGGCCTAGTATAAGCGAATGCACTCCACTAGTCGAAGCCTATAACCCTGTCAGGTTATTTGAAAGTGTAGGCCTATTAGTCTGGCAGCTTAGCAGATGGATGTGGACGTTCCGGGCAAAAGCACCAATTTTTTTTTACATGCTCCTTATGATCATAGCATTCAATTTGTGGTAGGAACCACCTCATCCGAGGTCAGTATAGCGGCCATCTTGGATTTCGAAATGGCCGCCTAATAAAACCTATGTTTATCTATATCTCCGCTTCTAAACCAATTGGAATTATAATTCTAATGTCAGAAACTATTTTATGGTCAAGGAAAACCATCATATTATTTTTGATCTGGTCAGATTGCCACAAATAGGTCACTTAAGGTCAAATATTGTATGGTATCGTAAAAATTACGGTACATAATTGTCATATTTTACATTAGAACTATACCCTGACTCTCAGATTTCAAAATCTTTACTATGAACCACAATATTTCATTCGGTTATATATCAGTTTTTAAACCACTTTAATGAGAATTATGATATGTAAAATTATATTTCATGGTCAAGGATTTATAACACTTTTGACATGGTCGGATGGTCGTTAAGATGATAAAAGGTCATTTATGGTCATTCAATGTATATACCATACCATTACCAGTTTTTACCTGGTCAGATTGCCACAAATAGGTCATTCAAGGTCAAATATTGTATGGAATTTTAAAAATTACGTAACTCATGTATTACATTAGAACATTAGAATCATATCCATACTCTCTGAATTCAATATACTGTCTCTTATACACATCTAGATGGGTATAAGAGACAGGACCAATACAACTCAATATCGTTTGTAAGCCAAATTCTACTTTCTCTGACGCAATCAAACATAACTTGCACATTCAGCTTATTAAAATTATGGAACAAATTTGAAATGATTGATATAAATGCAGTGCGGGTGTTGGGGTTGGGTGCAGACGGTGCCATCGCACCCACTCAAATTTTATTATGAAGAATATTTGTTTATTGTTGATTATGAATAACCGGTCAGATTTTTAAAGGTATGAGAGTGCAATTTCCGGGCACCGAGGTTCATATTCTCAAAATGTTCGCACCTCAGCACCGACTACAGCATTTTGCTCTATAATGATGAC